AATAAATAGTCTAAACAAACCCATCAACCATGTTTACATTCGGACTGACATGAGAAGACAAGGCCAGTATGGCCGTACAGGAAGTGGAATTCCGGTACCAGAATGCTACAATGTACACCCATTATGCTTGTGGGTTTATCAAGACTGAAATGAAACCATACCTGTTCTTTTGGAGTTTTCTTGTCTGGCCCAAATAACCCCATTTCGAAGCTCAATGTTATACTACTGTTGGTGGAATGTTTGTGCGCATGTCCATGAGGTAGCGCCCCCTATCGACATTATGAACTAATCGTACGTTGGTGACTTACAGAAGGTCATTGATTGATTGATTTTTTTCCCGTAAAGAGAGAAATGGTGTTTACACAACATTATGTACATTATTATACATCTAGCTACGCGTCTGTCAATATCGTCGGTTTGTGATATTCTCGTAATTATAACCTCGTATTTATTTATCACTCATCATCCATTGGAATGGATGATGATGGATACAATACACAAAAAACAAAAGTGGCATAACTAAGCAAATACACACACACAGAAAAAGCAACAATTAAAAATTAAAATTGCAGAAAATCATAGCATTTTTTAAGATGACATCCATGTCTAGGAAGTGTTGTTGTCTAGATTCAAAACAGATATGCAAATATTGGCCTAAAGGAATCAACAGATTTTTATTGCTCTAGCTAAATCTGATTTTGGGGATATTTTTATTGCTTCCGTATATAGAATGTTTCTATGTTGGGCATAGACAGAGCAAAACATCACGGAATGTTGTTCCTCTTCGATCTGATTTGTGTTACAGAGAAAACATACTCGTTTTCTGGCAACTGAGCATGGCGCTCTGTTTCAATTCTCAGTGAATGGTTACTGACAAAACTTACTAATTAATTCCTGGAGCTCAATATTGTTATTGTTTGTCAAATAATTCTCTAAACAGATAGTTTGTTTAAAAAGATGGGAGGTTCTAAGTTTATTATTTCTGTTACCCTAATTTCTTTTGTCTTTGTAGAAAATTTGTTTGTTATTTAGAAGTTTATTGAATTTATTAAAAATCATAATTTTAGTGTTTCTTATTTTATTTACTGTTAAATGCTATAGTGGCGTAATTACTTATTTAGGGGTGAACTATTTGAAATCTTGCGGGCACGAGACATTGGTCAATTTCGTACTTTGTGTTCAATAATGTGCAGAGATTTTTCCTCAAGAGCATGTCTAAACATTAATTTGTTTTCGAATAAGAGTTTTTTTAAAACTTCTGTTGAAAGAACATTTTTTGTCTTACTGTCAAGCCCATCAGTACATTTTTTCGTCGGTTTCAGTCAACATTATTTTTTTTCTCCAGAATCCCTGATCTTTTCAGGTTGTGAATGGGTTCCCCTAACTACCTTGAAAATAAAACAGTTGTATTTCATTATCGGGTAGAATCCGACAGAAAACAAACATGACAATCAATGATGACTATGTGTAGCTCCAACTTTTTGAAAAAGATGACGTGGTTTTCACAGATATGTAACGAAGCATGACGACCACCGCCGTATTACATAACTTCAGAACAACCTAATTGTGTCATGTATGAACAAACATTCAATTTTGTTATGTCCAGTGTTGGGCTGACTGACCCCCGGTCATACATTCAAAATATGGTGACCAATAGTCCATAGAAGAAAATAGATGACACCCCCCCCCCCACACATACACCAACAAACATTACCTTAAATACAATTCATGTTATTAAATAAAAAACTAGTTTGCTAGTGCTTATACTGAAATTTAACAGAACCATTATATTCTAGGGTGTCTTAGCGTATCCTATGGTGCTATCAAGTAGCTGTATGACGATGGACTATATTACAAAATTGATAATTGATGTGAAGAATTTCCCAGTCTTAACCTAAGGACTCACACTGTACTGTGTTCATACTCCCCAGGTTACTTGTATTTAGCGTGTATATAGCTTGGGAGAAATCAAATGGCAATTCACATGACTTATTTATGACTTTAGTTGATAAATGGCATAATAAATAAACAAGCCATGCATGCATGGCACAGTCCCCGTTAGTTATCAAATTTAAAATATATAATTTTGTTTATACAAATGTAGTAATATAGTTGAAACAAACATATCAGAAGTATGGATCCAGAAGATGATGCTTGATTACCGGTATGATGATTTTTTAACATTAAAATGATCTTGTATCTTGTAGATATGACTCTAGAAGTGCATTCATTTAAACAAAATGACTGCCAGTCAGCCATTTGCAATCTGATCTGATCTGAAAAATAAAATGATGTGCATCAAGGTCCCATAATGTCCAACGTATTTACCAAGTTTAAACAAAATTCATCCATAAATACTTGATTTCAATGTTTTTTTTAGCACAAAAATGGCCACTATTCGGCCATCTTGAATCAGATCGTGAAACAAATTATGTGCATATGTATAATATTATGTACAATGTATGTGCAAAGTTTGATTGTGATTGGTCCAGGCATACACGGACACACGGACACACAAAGGAAATAACTTGATATGCAGTCATCGGTTAATTTTACGAAATACAAGTGTTCAAAATATCATGAAAATTGTAAAAATTAACATTTTACACTAGTTACAATGGTGAGATTATTTCTTCAAATCTCAAAATTTTGCTCTGCGATATGTATTGAAAAAAGATTATATAATTATTATTGATATGAATCCTGATAAATGTATAGTGAAAATATTTAAAAAAATTGACATATAATTTAGTGAGTTTCCATGGTGATAATAGTTTTCCATTATATACAATTGGAGGTTATATCCCATAATGCATTGCTTATAGGTGCAATACAATATTTTAGTTAGACATGAACGGCAAAAGTATAGAACGGTGCAACTATATTTATCACATTGACATGGCCAATTTCAGTCACAACAACATTTGCTAATGTGCTAAGATTGAATAAAGATTGACGACAAAAATATGTTAGATTAAAAAAAATATTTTATTCCAGCTTTTAAAATAAAAAGTGCATGACAGAATATATCATATGAATTAAGTGACAGTGTAAATGAGATGATGTGTGTAGATCTGCAAACTGGCTCTATGACAGCTGGCAGTGAGAAAATGACAAACCTTGACACTATACATTCTAAATATAACAATAAAACATGAATGAGAAAAAGACTTGCAAACAATTATCACTAAAACTATCAATAGCAATGTAGTATATCAATCATATGTAGCTAGCATACTAAGGGATGAATCAGTCTCAATATTGTAATAATGCAAAGTACTTTACATGACACAATACCAACAACTGAATTTTAAACGGTGGTAGTCAATTTGTGCTGTGGATATGTATGTACATAACATATGCATATGGGTCAAATGTTTTTGAATGTACACAGTCGTGACTGACCACTGATCTGTAATTATTGGATTTCAATTTCTAATCTGTGTTGATGTTCCAAATGAATGTCAAATATTTGTTGTGATAGGACACAATATAATCTGTAGAGAAACAATTCATGCTTTCACTACTACTACCTTATGCTGAGAAATTGTACAATAGAGAATTCTAGAAGTGAGAATTTACAGTACCAGTACATAAATGTAGTGCATGTAGTCACATCTGTGTTAGTGGCCACCTTTATAAAGACCACCTGTGTTAGTGGCCACTATTAGACTATCCCAAGGCATATTGTATG